ACACCTACCACTACCACCTACTACACACTCACCTACTTCACCTACTCTCCACCTACTCCTCACCTACTACACACTTACCCTCTTCTATATATAGGAATCATGAATCATTGTAATATATAGAATATAACAATCAATAATACATCAATTTTTACAGGGTGTCTACACCAGCCTATCCAAGACCTACTTATAACCCTATCGTATTTTCCCAAACCCGACCCGAGCATAATATATTAAACTCGAGCTAGATTCGAATAGCCCTTAAATTTGAGGGTTATTTTTTGTTGGCAATTAGGTTGATTAATTTGTCAAAAGTTAGACCTTATTAGCATTTTTTTTAATAACATCATAAAAAATAATTTATAGAATAAGTGAGACAAAAAGGAGAGAGATGAAAATTGAGGAACTGATGTGCTGCGATGGTGATCTTTGTCATTTCTGAATGAGAAAGGACTGGGTAAGGTTTTGTGTTGTGTGACCTGTGTATATGATATTATGCTATATATATATATATATATAACACATATGTTCTAACGGTTCCGATTATTTTACATCATTCCAAAAGCTAATAATTTATAAGTATATTTTATATATAAATACAATTCTGGCTTCGAGTTGCTTGGATTGCTCGCTTCTTTGTCCAAGCCCATTAGGTTTCTGAATTTTTGCCATGCTCAAATTGAATTAAAAAATATGTTGACCAAGCATTGCAAAATTTCAAGTTGGGCTCGGGTTGCTCAAATTGAGCCCATCCAAGTTACTCCCCTAGTGGCAGAGGGGGAAGTGCTTGGGTGGTTAAGGGAGGGGAGGGAGTGGTGGCCGGTGGTGGAGATAGGAGAGGGAAGAGAAAGAGAGAGGAGGGGCAAAAAAAAAATAAAAGGAGGCTTTTAATAATTATTTCCTTATGCTTAGGTAGGCCATGTTGAATGTTTAGGAGCTTGGATAGGGATGCATTACTAACATAAATTGTTTAGTTGTGTTTTAGAATCTATTTTTTGAAGTTTTTCAAAAACTAATTTTCTAAAAAACTCATTATTTTCATATGGTTCTCTTTTTGTGGGACAGAAATAATTTTTAAAAATTCAAAAATATCTTTTTTGATAAACTAGTTTCTAATTTTTCAAAAGAAAAAAAAAAGAAAAAGAAATAGAAAACCAAGTTCTGAAAACTCAATCAATTTGATTTGCCTGGTCGATTTTGAGTCTTGCAAGGGACCACTGGAGGTTTTCTCCATTGTCAACTTGAGGGCCTCCAGCAATTATTTCTTGACTATCTAGATGTGTGATAACTTGAGCCCAATTGGGCTGGGTTGGGCAAGAGATACCTTGAATTTTCAAAAAAGAAAAAAATAAAAAACAAAATTTCCACTTGTTATTAATGTAATTTTAAAATATCCTCTTTTTTATTAAAATTTTTTTTACCCTAGGTTTTTTTTGGGTGGTTATTTTTCGTGAAAAACACATTTTAAATTAATTTTAGGGCTAATTGTACTTTTCACCTATCTAGTTTTACTCAAATTTCACTTTAGTTCCTATTTTTCAATGTGAACAATTTGGTCATCTACACTTTTAAGTCTAGTTTCAATTTGGTCCTTTCGTCTATATTGGAGATTAAAATTAACAATTTTGAGACATTTGTCAATTTTTTAAGGTATACATGAAGAGAAAATTAATAGAAATTTAGATGGAAATACCAAATTGAAACTACACTTAAAGTGTAGGGACCAAATTGTTCAATTACAAACTATAGGGACTAAAGTGAAATTTAAATCAAACTACAAAGGTTACAAGTGTAATTAATCCTTGATTTTATTTTATATGTTCTTGAAAAATAAACCTCCAAAATTACAATTGTTATTCAAGAGAATGAAAAGCGTGCACTGGAGAAACATTGAGAACAATGTTGGTTTGGTGAATAAACACATCATGTGATATCCAATATTTTCAATCTATGAAGCACGGACACCTTTTCGGAGGTCACGTACGAGTGTTTGACACATGTCAGACATGGACACGTGTTAGGCACGCTCTGGACACGTGTTGGACACTCGGGACAAGCTACAGACATGTAGAGACACACTGGGGACTATTTTTTTTTTAAAAAAAAATTTATATAAAAACAACACACTTAAAGTTGATAAATTTGATAAAATTAAATATATGACATAAAATACATATTAAATACTTAAAAATATGGCATAATAAATACATAAAAAAATATATTTTGCACGTGTTCCCAACTTGTTATGTCCTGCATTTTTTGAAAATTTATGTGTTCACGTGTCCGTGTCGTGTTCCTGTGTTGTTCGTGCTTCTTAGTTTTCAATATCCCTTTTAACTATTGTAAAACATAGAAAATGAAAGAAAAAAAAAAGGAGTGTTTGTTGAATTTGGAATCCAATGCAATTGTGGAGTGTGAGTGGTACAGACAGACTACAACCATGAGGAGGGAGTGAGGGAGCCTTGTTGTCTTCTTCTTTTTGCAGCCCTTCGAAAATTCCAAAGCCAACCGCATGTTAGAAATACAAAAATACATACAGATATACTTTTATCCATATAGAACCAAATTGCAATTTCATTTTTATTTTTTGTTTTTTCAATATTAACCCACTGATTCAACAAATTTTTATTGAACAGAATACGTATCTTTTGTTTCTCTCTTTCTCTCTCTCTCTCTCTCTCTCGCTTCACATGCCTCATCAATCAAATTAAGTATTGTGTATACAATCCCTTTTTGTTATAGTATCACACATTGTAGCCTGTAAATATATAAGTAGACATATGGAAAGCAATGAGGAGACCAGTTCCTACAAGTACTGCACACCACTGCCTCTCCCATTCCCAATTCCCAATTCCCTCCCTCCAACCACCGACTCTCTATTCTTCTTTCTTGTGCTGCTTTTCTGGGTATTTATTTGTTTCCTATTTTTTTCATGTACTTGCACATTAATTGCACATCTCTGATTCTGGGGATTACTTCCACTGTCCTTGTAATTCAATTTTGTGCATATCAAATGTTCATTTTGTTTATCTATAATTTTGATTGGTTGGTTGATTTTTAGACGTAATATGAAAATATAAAATTGTAGTGCGTTGTTTGGAAGTTAGGAACGAACACTTCAAAATAGGCACCGTAGTGGTGTTGGAGACAGGGGCACACTAGGGACGCCATTTGGTGTGGCCCTTTAATTTATTTATTTATTGGTATGGGACATGTCGGGGCCAATTTTTTAATTCTATATATCCTTTGGGTCAAAGCATAAATTTAACAAAGTAAAAAAAATCAGAAATCCCTAACTCAAACAAATCCTAAATCAGAAGATCTAAATTCTAAATCAGAACAAAAAAAGAGAGAAGAGAAACGAAGAACCTGTTGGAGGAAGGCATTCGATTGATCTCTCAATCAAGCTCCATCTCTAGTATGGTAAGTGTCTCTTCTCTCTCGTCCTGTCTCGCCTCTTCTCTCTCTCTCTCTCTCTCGTCTTGTCTCGTTGATCGTCTCACTCTCTCTCTCTCATCATCTCTTTGTCGTCGTCGTCTTTCACTCTTTCTTGTCATCTCCCTATCTAATCAATATATAATAAATATACTATTATATACTATTTATAATGAATATATTATATATTTCTCTTTAAATCAGCTTGTTTTTTCTTTTTCTATTATTTATTTAAATGTAGTGGCTTTTATATATACATTTAATTAATGTTAGTGTTTATTAATTTTGATTGTTCGGTAACATAGTCTTAATCTACATTGCAAATACATATTTATATTTTTTTTAAAAAAATTTGCCATGTCCCCGTTGTGTATGTGTTCTCATTTTTTTGAAATCGCTATGTCTCATGTATTTGTCCGTACTTCATAGTTTGGAAGTGAGTTACTGTTATTTATCAGAAAAAAAAAAAAAAGGCTTCTATGTTGTGAGTATTACCTTGGAGCACCCTTTATGTTGTTTCTGCCCGGTTTCTTTTGAAAGTCTCTCTGTAGGCTTCAGTTGGTTACCAAGAAATAAATGGAAAAACCATAACTAAAACTCCAAATCTTTTGTTTTCTGATTTAGGACTCAACGAAGAGTAACTTCATAAACTTACTTTTGTAATAATTGTTTCCTTTATGCTTAGTTAGCCTTGTCTTCTTCTTTTTGCAGCCCTTAGAAAATTCCAAAACCCACCATACATTATAAATACAAAAATACATACAAATGTACTTTTCTCCATATAGAACCAAACTCTTCTTATTTTCCATTTCTTTCCCTGCAATTTCATTTTTATTTTTTGTTTTTTCTATATTAACCCACTAATTCAACAAATTTGTATTGAACAAAATACAGATCTTCTGTTTGCTCTCTCTCTCTCTCTCTGCACATACCTCATCAATCAAATTAAGTGTTGTGTATACAATCTCTTTTTGTTATAGTATCACACATTGTAGCATGTAAATATATAAGTAGATATATGGAAAGCAATGAGGAGACTAGTTCCTACAAGGTAAGTACTGCACGCCACTGCCTCCCATTCTCAACTCCCTCCCTCCAACCACCAACTCTCTATTCTTCTTTCTTGTGCTACTTTTCTGGGTGTTTGTTTGTTTCCTATTTTTTTCATGTACTTGCACATTAATTGCACATCTCTGATTTTGGGGTTTACTTCCTCTGCCCTTGTTATTCAATTTTGTGCATAGCAAATGTTCATTTTGTTTATCTATGATTTTGATTGGTTGGTTGATTTTTAGACTTAATATGAAAATATCAAATGCGTTGTTTGGAAGCTATGAACGAACACTTCGAACTAGGCGCCGTAGCAGTGTCAGACACGGGCACACCGGGGACACGCGCGTGACACGTCATTTAGCGTGGCCCTTGAATTTATTTATTTATTTGGTATGGGACACATCGGGGACACGTCGTGGCCAATTTTTTGATTCTGTGTATCTTTTGGGTGAAATTATCAATTTAACAATGTAAAAAAAATTCCGAAATCCCTAACTCAACAAATTGTAAATCAGAAGACCTAAATTCTAAATCGGAACAAACAAAGAGAGAAGAGAAACGAAGAACCTGTTGGAGGAAGGAATTTGATCGATCTCTCAATCAAGCTCCATCTCCGGTTTGGTAAGTCTCTTCTCTCTCGACCAGTCTTGCCTCTCGTCTCTCTCTCTCGTCATCTCTTTGTTGTCATCGTCTTTCTCTCTTTCTCGTTGTCTATCTATGTCTAATAACTATACAATAAATATATTATATATTTCTCTTTAAATCAGTTTGTTTTTTCTTGAAATTTATAATAAATATATCATTTATCAAATTAAGAATTGAACCAGAAAAGCAATGTGTAGTTGAAATTTTTTCAGTGTATAGTGAAGTCCACGTATGAAACTAATCTCCACTATATATTTTTTTGAATTTTTTTTGAGACTATAGAACTGTTGAGACACACACACACACACACACACATATACTAGCGACCGGGCACGTACGATGCGTCTGCAATTTCTTTTAGAATTATAATATGAATTTTGTTTGCAAAACCCTATTTACAATCTGTCAATTTACAATCACAATTTTTACACAAAAAAAAAAAATTAAATAAATAAAATAAAAAAACAACAACAACAAATATTAACTCCACACCTAGGCTAAACAAAAAAAAGTAAATAGGAGAAACAAAATTAAAAAGAAGAAAAAATCCACTAAGGTTGTGTTTAGATTATAGATTTAAATAGGGTTTTGCAAACAAAAAAGAAACGATGAGAGAAATGCAAATAAAATATAAGCCAAATATTCTCCATTTCCCTTGTATTTTCCTTTTCTTTTCCAAATCCCTACCCAATCCATGATCCAAGCACAACCTAAATATATGATTGATTTGAACTTGACTTTTATTAAATGGAAAACCCAGAAATTATGTGTACCAAAAGATGAGAAAAAGAAGTTATTGAGTGATAATCTCAGAGTAACAATGTATATAGCATATGTATAAGAATATGTGGATATTCATAAATCTATTGATATTCATCCATCAATATCTTTAAAAAAAAAAAAAAAAAAAAAAAAAGGAAATTGAGAAAGCATGAATTCGAAAAACATAATCAACAATATTCAAACAATTTGAATTTCTGTTATATCTAGAAAGCGATTCAGATTCAAAACAGTTATACAGATTAGGGACACAGCTATGTTCGTTTCTTTGATAAAACTATCAAAGGATTAACTAATGAGAATCGAAATGCAGAGAACTTCACTTTTGTGAGATTATTCAAAGAAGTAGATTGAATGAACTTGATCTTCTTGAAGAAGACTGTAAAGTGATTGAATCCAAACATATGTATCGAAATGTGGATATCTTGATCAAGGATTTAACAAAAACACATCAGAAAATTTAAAGCAAGAAAGCGAACTATATAAGCAGAGAGAGAGAGTGATTACTTGATGAAATTGCTCTGTATAAACAGAGAGCGAGTGATTACAGAATTCGAAGATACTGAAACTGATTTAGAATTGCTGTGCAGTTTGGAAACGTGGGGGTGGTGGAATTGGTTGGTTTGAATTTATCATGTTACCCTTAACTACAAATTGATGTTAGCGTAAAAATAATACAATTATTTAAGAAGTTATGGCCATTTTAGGAAAAATGAAAAAAATTTCTAAGAGAGGCTTTAGGACACCAAAGTTCCTGTTGGCTTTTAATAATAGTATAGATATACTAGCGGTTAAGGCACACGCGATGCTTGTGTAAATTTAAAAAAAAAATTATGCGATTGAGTCAATAAACATTGAATTAAGGAACACTACTTTTCAATTGATAAAAATTTTAATACATCCTCATTCAATTTTATTTTTTTAATTTATATATTCAATCGCATAATTTTTTTTTTCTGAATTTGATATGATATATATACACACATTCTCATATACTTCTGCATTATTTTTGATTTTTTTTTTTGAGTTTTTAATTTTTAATTTTTAAATTTTTGTTTCCATATTTATGAAATTTCTTTGAGTTAAGAATGAGGATTTATTTAGTTAAGAATATTGAGTTTGGCCAAAATTATATTTATATTCAATTTGTTATTTATTTATTTATATATTCAATCAAATAACTTTTTCTGAATTTGATATGATATATATACACACACTAATTGATCAAAATTATATAAAACAAAAATCAGAGAAAAAAAAAGCTTGAAAAGTTTCCCAAGGATAAACAACACCGTCTTTGTTCCGATCGAAGAACGACGTGTTTTTTGAGGACATTCTCATCATGACAATCCAATCTTGCAGTATACACACATAAATATATGATTAGCTATTTTGAGGAATCGAAACAATAATTTGTATATATATATATATATATATGTTTGTGTATAGAATGTTGTTTGAGGAGGTTTCGAAATCAGAAGATGAAGCCATGGATAGAGAGACCTTTATGCCAAACTTGTACAGTTTAGAATGTTGTTTGAGAGAGAGATTGTACAAAAAATTAACTGCTGTACAGTTTGGAAACGTGGGGTAGTGGAATTGATTGGTTTGAATTTATCATGTTACCCTTAACTACAAACTAATATAAGTGTAAAAATAATATAATTATTTAAGAAGTTATGGTCATTTTAGGAAAAAGAGAAAAAAATTTCTAAGCCAGGCTTCAGGACTCCAAAGTTCGTGTTGGCTTTTAATAATAGTATTGATATATTACATATTTCTCTTTAAATCAGTTTGTTTTTTCTTGTTGTATTTATCTGTTTAAATGTAGTGGCTTTTATATATACATTTAATCAATGTTAGTGTTTATTAATTTTGATTTTCTAGTAAAATAATCTACATTGCAAATACATATATATATATTGAAAAAAAAAAATTTGCCGTGCCCCCTGCCGTGTGTGCTTCCTCATTTTTTTGAAATCACCGTGTCCCGTGGCCTTGCCCGTACTTCATAGTTTGGAAGTGAGTTACTGTTATTTATGAAAAAAATAAATAAATAAAGTTCTATACTGTGAGTATTACGTTGGAGCACTCTTTATGTTGTTTCTGCTCAGTTTCTCGTGAAAGGCTCTCTATAGGCTTCAGTTAAAAACCAAGAAATAAATGGCAAAACCATAACTAAAACTCCAAATCTTTTGTATTCTGATTTAGGACTCAACGAAGAGTAACTTCATAAACTTACCAGTGTAATAATTGTTTCCTATATGCTTAGGTAGCCTTGTTGTCTTCTTCTTTTGTAGCCTTTCGAAAATTCCAAAACCCACCGCACGTTATAAATACAAAAATACATACAGATGTACTTTTCTCCATATAGAACCAAACTCTTCTTTTTATTTCCCATTTCTTTCCTAGCAATTTCATTTTTATATTTTGTTTTTTCTATATTAACCCACTAATTCAACAAATTATTATTGAACAGAATACGAATCTTCTGTTTGCTCTCTCTCTCTCTGTAAATACCTCATCAATCAAATTAAGTATTGTGTATACAATCCCTTTTTGTTATAATATCACACATTGTAGCAGGTAAATATATAAGTAGATATATGGAAAGCAATGGGGAGACCAATTCCTACGAGGTAAGTACTGCACACCACTTCCTCTCCCATTCTCAATTCCCTCCCTCCAACTACTGACTTGCTATTCTTCTTTCTCGTGCTGCTTTTCTAGGTATTTTTTTGTTTCCTATTTTTTTCGCGTACTTGCACGTTAATTGCACATCTCTGATTCTGGGGTTTATTTCCGCTGTCCTTGTTATTCCATTTTGTGCATATCAAATGTTGATTTTGTTTATCTATGATTTTGATTGGTTGGTTGATTTTTAGACTTAATATGAAAATATCAAATTGTCGTGCATTGTTTGGAAGCTATGAACGAACACTTCAAAATTGGCGCTGAAGTAGTGTCGGACACGAGGGCACACTAGAGACACATGCGTGACACTCCATTTGGTGTGGCCCTTTAATTAATTAATTAATTAATTTATTTGGTATGGGACACGACGGCGATGCGTTAGGGCCGTTTTTTTAATTCTGTATATCTTTTGGGTCAAAGTGTAAATTTAACAAAGTAAAAAACAAAATCAAAAATCCCTAACTCAAACAAATCCTAAATCAGAAGACCTAAATTTGAAATCAGAACAAAAAAAGAGAGGAGAAATGAAGAACCTATTAGAGGAAGGCATTCGATCGATCTTTCAATTGAGCTCCATCTCCAGTATGGTAAGTAACTCTTCTTTCTCGTCCTGTCTCGCCTCTCATCTCTCTTGTCTTGTCTCGTTGATTGTCTCTTTCTCACTTTCTCACTCATCTTCTGTTGTCGTCATCGTCTTTCTCTCTTTCTCGTTGTCTCTCTATGTCTAATAAATATACTATTTATAATAAATATATTATATATTTCTCTTTAAATCAATTTGTTTTTTTTTTTCTTCTTTTCTATATATTTATTTAAATGTAGTGGCTTTTATGTATACATTTAATATACATTTAATTAATGTTAGTGTTTATTTATTTTGATTTTCTAGTAACATAGTCTTAATCTATATTGCAAATACATATATATATATATATATATGTGTGTGTGTGTGTTAAAAAGATCATGAACATCTAACTAAGACCACAAATCTTAAGTGACATGTCCTTATTTTTTTGAAATTACCGCGTCCCATCTCTTTGTCCGTACTTCATAGTTTGGAAGTGAGTTACTGTTATTTATAAATAAATTGAAAAAAAAAGGTTCTATACTGTGAGTATTACCTTGGAGCACCCTTTATGTTGTTTCTGCTCGGTTTCTTGTGAAAGTCTCACTATAGGGTTCCGTTGGTTACCAAGAAATAAATGGAAAAACCATAACTAGAACCTATGAAGCACGGACATGCATAGGGACATGGACACGGACACGGGATACGGCAATTTCTAAAAAATGGGGACACGGACACGGCAGGGGACACGGCAAATTTTTTAATTTTTTTTTTATAAATATTTTTATTTTAATACACATTAATTATTTTATTTATTTATATATTTTTTAAATAATATGTTCAAATTAATTTTTTTTATTTTATTTTACCTACATGTGTTTATTTATTTATTTTATTATGTATAAATATATATTATCTTATAATATGTATTATATATATTATATATTATCTTATACATATAGTATATGTTGTATAATAACTATTAATATATATTATATGTTATATAATAACTATTAATATATATATAGTATATTATCTTTGAGTAATGGTGGTCAACGAAACATTTCAGTCTGAGAGAGAGAGAGAGGGGGGCAGACGAAAGAGGGGAAAGAAGAGAGGCAGACGAAGGGTTAAAAGAAGACGAGAGAGAGAGAGAGAGAAGAGGCGAGAGAGAGACGAGAGGCGAGCCAAAGAAGAGAGAGAATAGAGACGTACCAGGTCAAGAAGTGATAGAAGATCAACTGGAGATGGAGATGGAGATGGAGATCGATCGATCGAGATGGAGATGAACAGGTTCGCACTTCTCTTCTCTCTGTTCTTCTTTTGATTTTGGATTTAGCTCTTCTTCTCCTCTTTCTTCGAATTAGAGTTTTCTATTTTGTTCCCCTTGCCGTGTCCTCTTGATATGGGCCACCATGTCCCCGACGTGTCTCATACCAAAAAAATAAATTAATTAAAGGGACACGCCAAATGGTGTGTCCCGTACGTGTCCCCGGCGTGTCCCCGTATCTGACACCGCCACGGCTTCCATTTTGGCGTGTCCATGCTTCATAGACAAGGACACTTCAATAAATTGCAGAGTACTAACGGGTGTGGGGTAGCATGATATTTATCTAAAGAATAATATAGATAAAGAAATTGTGGGATTTTGCACAGCCAAGAAACCCTCTCCCCCCATTTCATTGCCTTCTAAATTGTTGGTCCTAGCCCTCGGAAATTCCTCCATTCTCAGTCCATTATTGATGGATAAAATCTTTCATACACCTAGCTTAAACACTTGAATCGGATGATTTGGAGCGACTTCGTAGAGACGGCGAACCTTCACAAGAAAAGGGCTATATTTTTTTTTGTCTTTCATATAGGACTTTATAATTATGAGGAGGTTTTGAAAGTATTATATTTTTTTGTCCTTCATATAGGACTTCATAATTATGAGGAGGTTTTGAAAGTACTATATTTTTTGTCCTTTTAACAAGAAAAGGAAGCTAGGAGGGGTTTATGGCCAATTATTATATAACATATAATATATATTAATAGTTATTATACAACATATACTATATGTATAAGATAATATATAATACATATTATAAGATAATATATATTTATACATATTAATAAAATAAATAAATAAACACATGTAGGTAAAATAAAATAAAAAAATTAATTGGAACATATTATCTAAAAAATATAATAAATAAATAAAATAATTAATGTGTATTAAAATAAAAATATTTATAAAAAAAATTAAAAAATTTGTCGTGTCCCCTGCCGTGTCCGTGTCCCCATTTTTTAGAAATTGCCGTATCCCGTGTCCGTGTCCGTGTCCCTATGCGTGTCCGTGCTTCATAGACTAGAACTCCAAATCTTTTTGATTTAGGACTCAATGAAGAGTAACTTCATATACTTACCTGTGTGATAATTGTTTCCTGTATGCTTAGGTAGCCTTGTTGTCTTCTTCTTTTTGCAGCCCTTCGAAAATGCCAAAACCCACCACACGTTATAAATACAAAAATACATACATATGTACTTTTCTCCATATAGAACCAAACTCTAATTTTTCATTTTTATTTTTTTGTTTTTTTCTATATTAACCCACTAATTCAACAAATTTGTATTGAACATAATGCGGATCTTCTGTTTGCTCTCTCTCTCTCTCTCTCTCTCTCTCTGCAAATACCTCATCAATCAAATTAAGTATTGTGTATACAATCCCTTTTTGTTATAGTATCACACATTGTGGCATGTAAATATATAAGTTGATATATGGAAAGCAATGAGGAGACCAATTCCTACAAGGTAAGTGCTGCACACCACTGCCTCTCCCATTCTCAATTCCCTCCCTCCAACCACCGACTCACTACTCTTCTTTCTTGTGCTGCTTTTCTAGGTATTTGTTTGCTTCCTATTTTTTTCATGTACTTGCACGTTAATTGCACATCTTTGCTTCTGGGGTTTACTTCCGCTGTCCTTGTTATTCAATTTTGTGCATATCGAATGTTCATTTTGTTTATCTATGATTTTGATTGGTTGGTTGATTTTTAGACTTTATATGAAAATATCAAATTGTGGTGCGTTGTTTGGAATCTATGAACAAACACTTCAAAATTGGCACCGAAGCAGTGTCGGACACGGGGGCACACCGGGGACACGTGCTTGACACACCATTTGGTGTGGCCCTTTAATTTATTTATTTATTTGGCGTGGGACACGTCGGTGCCGTTTTTTTTAATTATGTGCATCTTTTGGGTCAAAGAGTAAATTTAACGAAGTAAAAAAATAAAAACCAGAAATCCCTAACTCAAACAAATCCTAAATCAGAGGACCTAAATTCGAAATCAGAAAGAAAAAAGAGAGGAGAAATGAAGAACCTGTTAGAGGAAGGCATTCGATCTATCTCTTAACCAAGCTCCATCTCCAGTATGGTGTCTCTTGTCTCTCATCCTATCTCTCCTCTTGTCTCTTGTCTCTCTCATCTTGTCTCATTGATCGTCTCTTTCTCACTCTCTCTCGTCTTCTATTGTTGCCGTCGTCATCGTCTCTCTCTCGTCATCTCTTTGTCGTCATCTCTCCGTCGCTGTCGTCTCTCTATGTCTAATAAATATACTATTTATAATAAATATATTATATATTTCTCTTTAAATCAATTTGTTTTTTTCTTTTCTTTTTTCTATATATTTATTTAAATGTAGTGGCTTTTATATGTACATTTAATTAATGTTAGTGTTTATTTATTTTGATTTTCTGGTAACATAATCTTAATCTACTTTGCAAATACCTATATATATATATTGCTGGAAATTTGTGTTAATGTATATAATATGATAGTGGTGTTGGTGGTAGATAGTGGCATGTATAGAATATGATAGTGGTGTTGGTGATAGATAGTGGCATGTATAGAATATGATAGTGGTGTTGGTGGTAGATAGTGGCATGTATATAATATGATAGTGGTAGATAGTGGTAATATATAATATGTAAGTGGCATATAATGGGTTATAATGATGTTTGTAATATCTCTCCTATATAAGGAGTGTCATTTGGTCTTGTAAGATAAGAAGTTTTGAATATAACAGAAATATATTCCTTCTTCCTCATATTTTCGGAGTTTTTCTTCCTCATATTTTCTAAGTTATATATATATGTATATGTAAAAACAAAAAATTTTGCCATGCCCCGCGTTGTGTGTGTGTCCTCATTTTTTTGAAATTGCCGTATACCGTGTTCCTGTTCGTACTTCATATTTTGGAAGTGTGTTACTGTTACTTATATTGTGAGTATTACCTTGGAGCATCCTTTATGTTGTTTCTGCTCGGTTTCTTGTGAAAGTCTCACTATAGGGTGTTGGAGATCACCCCATTTGAGGAGTGATCTCTTTTCCAT